AATGTTGCAATTTCATCATCATCATCATCATCGCAGGAATCGCCATCCAAGTCTCCGCAACAAATCGAATCGGTGGCAAGTCAGCCAACCAGTGTCCATACAAAAATTAACATTTTACCGGCAGAAACAAGTGTGAAAAGTTCAATAAAAAAATTATTCAGATTTTGATTGATTTGAAGTCTGGCCCCTTGTGGCAACCTCAAGTTGTGTTCGGTGGTGGTGGTGGTGGTGGTGGATGATGTTGGTGCTGGTGGCACTCACAAAATGAACCTGGTGAACCTTATTTCATAGCTTCGAATACATTTTTTTCCAGTTTGCGGCCAGACCAATTATTTGTCATAACGGCAACGGGCTGCCAAAGAAAGTGAAGTGATTTAGTTCGATGCAAAGTGAAGTGCAGTTCAGTGCAGTGCAGCAAAGTGAATTCACTGAATTCGAGTCTACTCTTGACCTACGTCAATTACGAAATTCTCTTACAAAATCGATATGACGTTTTATGACCAAATGCAAATTCCGCGGCGTTGTGGGCAACGAAGAAAAATTTGCGGAAATATGTACAAGTTTCCATTTTCCTTTTTTTTTTTTTGGTTTGCATGCAACAAATGTGGAGCATTGTTCTCGAACATTGGCATTACCAACCGGCCTGGCAAACTTGCTGTCTATGACATCATTTAAGGTTGTTGGTGGTGTTGATGTTACATTTTTTTAGGCTTTACTGACTTTTCAGTAGTTGGTTTTCTTATTCAGTTCCATGGGAAAAAAGTTCTTTGCTTCCATGGGCGAGAGAAGAAGGGCAACACAGCTATGGTCTTTGTCTTTCGGTGTCGGCTAATAACATTTGTTCTCCTTTTTATGGGTGTTTGTTATTGGCTTGTCTGTTATGTCTTGTGTCTCGTAAATCAATCGATAAATGTCCCCATTTTACATTGTTTTGGTTTTGACTTGGGCGCTAAAAAATAGCTGGTTAAATGAAAACAGAAAAAGGAAGGATAGGAAGGCGCATTCAGTGATAAGAAAATTCAAATCAGGGGTTCTTTTTGAGAAAGAGGAAAATGAATACATTTTTCAAAATAAGTTAACCCTTTGTTATAGTCCCCATATAACGATACCGCCGTTTGGAATTTTGAAGGTCTTAAGTGACAATTTCACTTTCATTTGCAGTCTCATTAGAATATTGAAACCCAATATCGAATTAAAAGTTGGACCCGCTGAACTTTAACTGTTTTGAAGATTATTTTAAGATTTATTGACCAAACCATTGATTTTTTTAATATTTCCCCAAGGATACGAGAAGTGTTTTTGCAACTGTTTTTATACCCTACACCATACAGTGGTAAAGGTATTATGTCTTTGTGCATTTGCTTGTAACATGGAGAAGGAAGAGATATAGACCAATAGTTACTTTTAGAGATCTTCATAGAATCACTTTCTGAGTCGATTTATGCATGTCCGTCCGATCATCCATGTATACTTGTATTATACGATTGAGATGAAATTTTCCAAACAATATTTGTTTGGCCCAAGGACGAACCCTATTGAAATTGGTTATAATCGGATCAGATTTAGATATATGCAGCTCCCATATATATCTTAAACCGATTTCGGGTTAATTGTGCACCAATGGCCAATATTAGTCCAAATGAATTTTGGCACATCCGACCGAATTCAGTCTAGAAGCAAGTAAGTGAAATTTGTCCCCTACATTCGTAATATGTACTCAACAAGAATGAATGCAGCGCAGTAATACCTCTGCTAAATTATATCGGGATCGATAGAGATTTGGATATAGCTCCCATATGTATCTTCAACTGATTTCGGGTTAATTGTGCACCAAATTGCCAATATCAGTCCAAATGAGCTGAATTTTGGCACACCCGACCGAATTAAGGTATAGCCATAGCTCTCATATATATGTTTCATCCGATTTGGGGTCTTAAGTCCCTCGCATTCGTAATATGCATTCGACAACAATGATATTTGGTATCAGATATCTTATAGAGCTCGGAAATACCTTTGCCAATTTTTATCGAGAACGGCTAAGATTTGGATATTTCTCCCATATATATCCTTAATTCTATTTCAGGTTTATTGTGGAAATAAGGGCTAATGAAGTGAATTTCAGGACGTTCGTTTCCATTTTGTGGAGCTCGACTCAGATATATATTTTTTTAATATTATCGTTTTCGAAGGGATATCATGTTCTATATAGCAATGTTATTTGGTATAAAAGATTAAAATGTCTCCGTCAAATTCAGTGAAAATCGATTCAGATTTGGTTATACCTCCGATATATTAGTTCCCTCTGAAACCAAACTGTAACTGATCAAAAGCCAAATGTTGATAGGTGGTATGATATACTTCAAATAAATTCTTTTCCTATTGTTTTTTTTCAGAGAGCGTTTTTTTTTTTTTTTTTTTTTTTTTTTTGAAAAATAGTATTATCACATTACTGTTGTTCTTATAAAAAAAAAAACATAGTATATCAGTTCGATTGGGCCAAACTGTGTGTAACACCTCGAAACATTGATCCCATACCTGTCATGTTATCTATCAATTTTCCTATCTCGCCTAGCTGACTCGATCTAGCTAAGTTTTGTTAATTTTTAATCACGCAGCAGGGCGAAGTTATTGTCCGATCCCCACGAAATTTTACATGACCAATTTTGCAGTCGCTCTAAAGGTCACAATTGGAGATCATTCGATGTGCTATTTTGCATGCAATTTTCGTTTAGGATAGAAGCCTACCATTTCAGATGGTCGTCGGATAATATTTAGCGGGTAAATGGATCAGCTTCTTTATGCAAAAATACCAAAATTTCTATTCAACCGCGAATGTTTTTAATGCATCATCTTCTTCTGATTCCTTTCCAATTACCTTGAAGTGTCTGGTCAGATATCGGAGATATATACAGGAATCTAAATTTTCAAGTACTGTTTCGAATTGTTATTAGGGCGACAGGGGATAAAAATGTAGGCCTTGTTGATCCGGTCAAAAACAAACCAATAATAATTTTGAATGACTTTATGACAATAATTTAAGAATGACATGTACAAAATATCTGTGTGCATGAAAGCCATGAAATGGGTACTAAGTGTGCGAATTGTACTAAATGGTACTAAATTTGGTATAGTTTGGTTAAGGATGAAGCTGGAATTTTGAAATTCTGTTCTGGTGTCCCTGTTGGTTATAGGTTTATGATAAAAATGTGGCTTTGGAAATGTGCACTATAAGTACACGAAAAGTACCAAATCGTACTATATTTGGTACAATTTGATATTGGGTGAACAGATATTGCTTAAAATCTGGAGTTTGGTATCAGGGTCGCCATTAGTGTAGCCTGGACATACTGAGGTGGTTTAGGTTGTACGAAAAATACTATTTGGTATTGATTAAAGGGATGGAGTTGAAGTTCTGAAATTTTATATTTAGATTTTTGTTGGTATCTGAAAACGAAATATTGGGAAGGTTTTGCAAATGCGTATTATAATTGCTTGAAAAGTACTAAATGGTACTAATTTTGCGTACTAAATGTTATCACTGTTGGTGTTTGTGGTTAAGATATGGAGGTGATTTTTAAAAAATGGTTAAAATAACTGTTCGAAAAGTACGAAGTGGTACCAAATTCGGTATTGGCTGAAGGGATAGAGGTCAAACGGTAAAATTTGATATTGAGGTCTCTGTTGGTATTTGGTATTTTAATCTGGTGGTGGTTTTGCAAAGGTGTACCATAATTTTACGGAAAGTACTAAATTTGGTATAAGATGAAGGGATAGAGCTGGAATCCTGAAACTTGATATGGATGTGACTGTTGATGTCTGTAGTTGAAAAATGGAGCTGGTTTTGACAATGTGTACTATTATTCATAATTATGACCACTTTGTGAGGGAGGCACCAGAATAAGTGGGGCCATATATAATCATCTTCAACCCAGATATTGTACACACAAAAATATTAGGTCTTGTTAAATTTGAAAAGAATCCAATGTTTATTTCGCATTTTATAAGAGTCATAGTTATTCAAAATTTTGACCCGTTGTGGTGGTACCAGAAGGAGTAATCCTATATTTCCCATCTTCACACCAGATCTTGAATTAGTAAAATGATTGGGATGTTCGAAATTTGAGGGGAATCGGATGCTTCATTAGATTTTTTGAGTGTTATATTTATTCAAAATGTTGACCCTTTGTGGGGGAGGTCCTGACATAGCACTGATGCAAATATTGGAATTTGCAAAATGTGCACAAAATTGGATGATCCTTTCTAATTCTTTGCGGCAAATTATTTTCTGTGAACATTTTTTTTTTTTTTTTGAGGGGCCCCATCTCCGCACTCGATCTGATTTTGAAAATAATATTACCATGTACCAACTATCGATCAAATCGGATAATCCCTTCGAGAGCTGTGGTGAGCACCAGCCAGCCATTCAGACAGACGGACGGACAATCCTAGATCTACTCCAAATGTCCTGAAACGGATTTGGTCCAAAGAGACCTTGGGTCTAAAACAGTTATTTCGATGAGGCACGTTTTGGCAGTTTTAATCGATGAGGGTATAAAAACCCTTTCATCCGAGAATCAGAGAACGAACCTCGATTCTTGGGATGATTTTTTCAATATTCCACTTATGTTTATCAACATCTTAAAAGATGCGAACATTCGTGTCAAAAAGGTTCCAGATCTACAGAAACTTTACTGAGAATTATAGTGGTGTAGTGTATCACATATTCGGCTCTGTTTGATTACAACTTTTGATTAATTACCGCCAAAAATGAAAGATAACTTCCAAAAAAATTGATAAATCTCCATATAAATATTTTCAACACTTTCATATTTCCGCCCGGACGCACTTCCATTGGTAGAACTTACAGAATTATAGGTCTGATCATTAAATATAATTTTGGCGGAAATTCTAATTCTGAACCAACTATTGTAAAAATAATAACCAAATAATTTGCATGTCTTCAACTTCCTCTAACGTCTTGTCTTCTCTTTTTATTACAGAACAACAACAGCAACAACACAACGGCGCCTATCGAACATACCCCCGCCAAAATATCGAAAACAAATAACGAAATTAGTGATAATATACGAGATTTAAATGAGATTTTAGTTGTTACCCATCCAACACGAGCAGCAACTGCAACAAAGATAAAACCCCCACGACCTTCCACAGAATCTTCTACAGCTGCGGCTGCTAGTGCTGCTAACAATTTGCCAGCAGCAATAATTTACGGTAATGACTCTGATTCAGCAGCAACAACAAATATGGCCAAGTCCAAACAGAGCGCACCAATTGCTTGCGAAGAAGATGATTGTGATGAACTGGAAGAAGCCACGAATGAATGGCTAATTGATAACGAGACCAAAGAACATCCAAACGACGATAAGTCTGGTGAAGAGGAGGACGTAGATGGAGTTGTTGATGATGATGTAAAAAGAAACCAAACCACCAGCACCGCCACAATCATTGATGATGATACCGAGCAACACCAGCAGCCAGTGGCTGAGCGAGGACAACAACTACAGCCAATTGGAGAATTGCTGGCGATCAACGAGACTGTCGTGCGTCGTAGCAAATCATCGCGTGTTCGTAATTATTTGAGAAAATGTAAAGATCGCTGGCTCGCAGTGGGCACTGGTGGTCATAACAATGCTAATGCGGAACCCAGTATGAGTGCCGAAGCCGCCGCCGCCAACACCAGCAACCTGGAGCACAACGACGATTCGCCAGCAACAACGGCAACAACAATGTCCGATGCTGTCATCATGAATGAGTCAAATGTCAGCAAACGAGAGCGCTGCAGGCCACAACTGGTAACGGTGGATTCCTCTAACTCCAACTCAATGGTGGCAACATTAGGTGGCAATGCCTATGCTGGAGCGGAAAATCCCGATAATGATGGCAGTCGTCATCGCCGTCGTTATACAAATTGTGCCCTTGGGTGTGTTGAGGAAATGGAAGACGATGTCGATGCCGATGCTGATTCCTATGAAGATATTGACTTTGGTTTGGTGGGCTATGATGCGATTGATACCACGAGTTCCAGCACCATCACCACCGCCACCGTCGTCACAGATTCCACACAAAGTGACACAGCACCGGGCAATAGAATACTGCCAGCCAAAGCATCGCGGCCAAGTCAGGAGAAATCCATGCAATTGGCCCAACGCCCCGGAGAAGGTCACGACAACGGCGATAATGACAACTGTGACGATAATGGCGATGATCCTGCTGATATCCGGACTGATGTGAATCTGAAGGGATTTGATGAACAACAATTAGTAGTTGATTCTGGGCAAATGGTAAGTCAAAGTCTATAATGATCAATTCGTTTTGTTGTTGTTTTCATTTTTTTTTTTTTTTTTTTGTGGGAAATGATGGTGTGGTGGTTATGTGGTGGTTATGTTGTTATGGTATAGCTGAGTGAGGGAGAGGGCATGTGGACTACATGTAAATAACTACGCAGCATATTCGGTCATAATCCTTAAAAATTCGGTCATAATCCCCATTATTATGGGGACTATGTACAAACGATTGCGGACATACACCCTATTATGGGAGAGCTATTTTAAGTTTTCAAGGGGAAATACCCAGCTATCCGGTTATTCGACCCTAAAATTTGGATTAGACTGACTTTTATCCGGTTCTTCAAATGTGCATCATTTAAAAGCTTATAAATAGGCATCATTCTGGAAAGGCAAGAGTGTAGGCTATAATATAGTACAGGGTGATATAAAAGACTGCAACAAAGTCAAACGCAATAATTTTAAGTTTTTAAGTTTTATTGAATGAAACAAAAAATGTAGGAAATAACATCAAATTTTAAAATAAGTTTAGATTTCTTTAAATTGGTCACTTTTGGCACGACCAATGAAATCGTCACACGCTGCCCGAATGTTGCTCTGCGGTATTTTGGCCCATTCCCGGCGAAGCGCTTGCTTGAGGTGATCAACACTTTGGTATTTTTTAGTGTCAACCTTGCTTTCCAAAATACTCCAGACACAATAGTCTAACGGATTGGTATCCAGAGATATTGGTGGCCATTGTGCGCTGGAAATGAAGCGAGGAACCTCATTTTGTAACCATTCTTGGATGGCGCGTGCTGAGTGCGATGGTGCCGAGTCCTGTTGGAATGTCCAAGGTCTGCGACCAAAGTGTTCGCGTGCCTTCAGAATATTTTCGCCATAATATTCGGCATTTATTCTGATGCCACGGCCGATTAATACGAGTGGAGAGCGACCATCGGCTGTTATGGCGGCCCACACCATGACCATGGCCTGCTCTTGAGTTCTGTTGGCCAATCGAAGGTGCACATTATCAGCTGACCTCTTTGGCAAGTAAACACGATCATTTTGTTTGTTTACAAACTGCTGGACAACGAATGTTTGCTCATCGGAGATAACCAAATTCGGCCAAGCGAAGCAACTCTTTAGCCCTTTTGAGTCTAGAAAGAAATTCTGTTGCGGTATAAGTTCTTGCACTTTTTGGAATTCCAATGGCTTTATCCCGAGCTCATTTTTCAATATTTGCCGAATGGAATATTGCGATATGTTCAGCTCACAAGCCGTTTTTCGGCCACTGCGACCGGTGTTTCGATCAAGTCGCTTCTTTACTTTTCGAACCGATTAGGATATGGCTCCCATATATATCTTTATCCGACATTAGGCTTATCGTGCAACAAATGGCATCAGCCCAAATGGACCGAATTTTGGCAATTACGACCGAATTCATCCCATAAACCGATTTGGGGTTTAAAGTCCCTCATAAGCGTAATATGCATTCCACAACAATGATCTTTGGTACCAAATATCAGATACAATAGTAAGTGTATCAAATTTTGTCAAGATCGGTTCAGATTTAGATATAGGTCCTATATATATTCTCAACCCATTTCGGGTTGATTGTGCACCAAATGGCCAATATCAGTCCAAATGACCTGAATTTTGGCATATTTGACCGAATTCAGACTTGAAGCAAGCAAGGTTCGAAGAAAATCAGTTCAGATACAGACTAGAAATACCTATTACCCAATTTGTATAAAGATTGGTTCAGTCCAAACCTAAATGACCTAAATTTTAGCATATCCGACCGAATTCAGTCTAGGAGCAAGTACATAAAATTAGGTGAAAATCGCTCCCATTGAAAATCGATTCAAAATTGGATATGCCTCCCATATAGTCGGACCCGCCCAACTTTTGACTTTTCCTTACTGGTTCTTTTTTTATTTTCGGCCGAAAGAACTGTAATTTGAAATTTTTAAACCTTAAAAGGTAGAATATATCGTCGCAAAACTTGTTTAGCCCAGATATAAGATTTAGTTGACTTCCATATTACGTTATACCCCCAACTATTGGTATTTTGAAGGTCTTTGTCATATTTTTTTAATGAAAGCACATTATTTATTTTTTCGATTCGTAGCGGGCTGAAAGCTATATGGGAAAAATATTCCGTATTTATTTTTATCGACGTTTACCGACCATATAACGATATTGGGAAAATTAAGAAAATAAAGCCTTATCTGATACCTCGCACAGTTATGACAACCACTCGAAATTTCATAATTATAGTTCGAATAGTATAAATTTACCTTTATACATGGTTTTAAAAAGTTGCCATTTTTCGCATTTCTTGTATTCTAATGCCATATACATCTGCAAACAAACCATACAATGTTGCAAGCTGTTTTATGTTTTTCCCCTTTTAAAATCATCATTACAACAAACATCTGAATTCTCATCCCGTTTCCTTTTGCTAATCCTCTTTGAAAATCGTATACTTAGTTTATGGTCTTTCTAATTGTTAATTTATTCTACTTGTTCTTCTTCTACTCCATTCACAGGAATCTCGATTGGCCGCTTTGATTGACGATCTACTTGCCAGTATTTATCCCATCTCGAACCGAACAACACGTGCAGTTTTGATACGTGAGGCACGTGACGTCCTCTTGACGACCTATCACGGCTGTTTAACAACATTTCAACAACAATTTCTATGTAAATTTGTCGAAATTGCTGGCATCCTAAAGGAGAGGCATCGCATCGGTGAGGTAAGTCAACCATTAAACTAAAAGAGTTTTTTTTAACTTGAGGTACAAAGTTCAGAATAAAGACAATTATGTTGTGTTGTTGTTAGATTTTTCTCAAATAAAGAGACCTTAATTTAGCTATGGACAAAACAAACGAGAAATTTAAATGAAATATACTAGCCTTTTATGTAATATCCAACAATAGCAAATAATTCACAATATTTAAATCAACAAAATTATGAATATGTAATGTAAATTTTCAATTTGGTCGATTCGAAACTAATTATCTAAGATTCCGTATGCAGTATATCAATGTAAATTTGAATGGCCTTAAAGGTTCACATAAATGCATAATACAGAAGATGGTAGGTATATTCATCGGGATTTACAACCCACTTATTAGAAATTGTCGCCAAACTACTATTTGATATAGGCCTCAAATATATGTTCTGATTTTTGGTATTTTGGAGGGTTTTCGTCCAAATTCTCCAGCAAATCGAGTGAAATTCGCCATTTCAGGTTCTCAGAAGATAATTAAATTCCTCGTAAAATATATGAAATGTAAGCCTATTTCTTTGTTATAATAAAGTAACTTTAAAATTTAGGGATTTTGAGTGTAGGCGATTTGGCCACAAGTCAATTTTTCCCATGGTGTTTTAAACCCTCTACCATTATATTATATACAGCTTTGTTATTTCGCTTTAGCTTTGTCATTCCGTTTGTAACTTCCCGAAATATTTATGATATAAAGGATATATATTCTGGATCAGTGGAAAATTCTAAGACGATTTGGCGATGTCCGTCTATCTGTCTGCCTGTTGTAATAAACTATCTTCCGAACGAATTGAGTAAAAAGCTAAAATTTTGTATAAATGTGTATTTTAAGTTTGTAAATGGGACATGTCGGTTCATGTTTTCGAATAGCCCCCATTTAGTATGTAGGTTCACGACTTGTATAGCCCCCAATCTAACGGTACCTCCCGATATTCGGTATTTTCATGATTATGGCGAAGTTATTCACCGGAATTGTTACAAATTTCGTTTTTAGAGTTCGTTAAGGGTACTACAGCCTATGATTTCATATCCAGGTCCACGTCTTCGTATAGTCCCCATATAATGGGTTGCATTTAAGTGGTAGTTTTCGGTTTGTTTTTATTTTTTAAAGTTTCTTTCAGGGAGGGTATTAAAAGTTCGGCCTGGACGAACTTAGATGTTTTTTTTTTTCTTTTGAAGAGCTCTAGTTTTGTAAAAACTCTTAATTTTTTTTGGCAGAGTTAGGTATATGTATCCTGATTCCGGGAAGGTATTGGGGGACGGATCCCCGGATATTTGACGTCTGAAGTCTGGATCTAAAACCCGAATTAGATCCGAATCTACTAAACCTATCCAACAACTCGTCACACGATGGGTTTATTTAAAACGTTTCGGAAGTTATATCTAAATATATCTAAATTATCGATTTGATAGCCCCCTATTTTTTATAAAACCGCCCCTAAAGACGAAAAGGTTGTATTTTTTGGAGTTCGCAAAATATATTCAAAATTACAGTTGACACTATAACCTTTCCGAAATGCTACAACATGTGACATTATCTTTCCTGGATCTAGAGATATGGGTTTTTAAACCCGGGCAACCCGATTCTGCCCAGTACATTCATTTCAGTTTCCCTGCATTTTACGCTGTTTTAGTGGTTTGGGATTTTCATCTCTGGATATGTCCAACTCCGGCTACGCGAACTAAAATGTATTCTAAATTTGATACATTCTTAAAAAGCATGCCTACGTCGGGAGTTGCGATGTTCCCCTAGGTATTTCTGTTGTAGGTAGCCGGACATCGGCTGGAGTTTGAGATTTTCTCCTCTGAATATGTCCAACACCAGCTACGCGAACCATTTTTATACTCTTCACCTTGGAAAGGTGAGGAATATTAATTTTGTCATTTTGTTTGTAACGCATCTAAATATTCGTCATAGTTCCCATTAATGATCAGCATAAACTTCTAAGTCGATTAAACGATGTCTATCTGTCTGTTGAAATCACGTTACAGCTCACATTATTTGACGTAGAGCTAAATTTGGCACAGTAGTTTGTATTGTGCCTAGGATGATTGGTATTGAAAATGAGATATATCTCTCCACGTTTTGGGAAAGCCCCCACATAACAGTACCTTCCTATATTCGCTATTTTAATGATTTTAGCCATATTTTTTCGGTGGCGGAACATTGTTCATATAGATCCACGTTTTCGAATAGCACTCACATAAGGGTACCTCCCGATAGTTGGTATTTCCATGATATTTTATATTTCTACGGATTTGTTCGTAATGGGTTCTAGATCCGGTAGCAGAACATTTTGTCGATTTAAGCCACTATTTCTAACAGATTTGTGTAAAATTTGGTATTTTTACTTCAAAATGGATTCTACAACCTGCGTCAAAACATTGTCCATATTGGTCCTAGTCATCCTAGTCACATTTACCCACGTAATTATGAAAAATTTGGTATATACGACTCACAATAGATTACAATCTTTGTAGTATGAAATTGTCTATATAGGTTCCTGTTTTAGTATGACCCTCATATAACGACTCCAAATATTCTCCTACCGATCTTACTAAAGTTTGTAATTTAAAGTGGAACACGTTTGAATCCAGATACTTTTGCATACAAATGTTTTCTTCACCGAATGATGAGGGTATTAGAAGTTCTGCCCGGCCGAACTTTATGTATTTTTACTTTTTTTTTTTAAAGTAGACGGCCTTCGGACCGGGCTTGAAACATTCTTTTCCAACACCGGCTTCGCGATCCAACGTTTTTCTTAATTTTATGCTGTTTTATGTAGACAGGTATTACGACATCCGGGTCCGCCCTCCAAATAAAATTGCTTTCCCAGCATAAGGATATGAGCAACTAACTATGGAAAAAGATTCAAAAAAATCCGAAAGTTTTTACCAAACAAGATTTAAGCCGTTTTTTAAATTGACTCTTAAAACAAGCCTTCATTTCAATTTTTCATAGAACAAAAATTAAACCCCAGCTTTAAACAGACCGTTACCAACATCTACCATAAAATTACACCAAATGTTTTATAACATATCGTGAGATTATAATAAAATTACATCTCTGCTATTAAAAGAACATGTAATGTTAAACTGGTCGAATTACACAGTTCAAACAACATAGTAATGTAAGTTGCAAATGTTAAGGTTGTTACTACAATTCCAGTGAGACTTAATTTGTAAACTTGTATTGCAGTCTCTCTGTTAAATTAATTTTTATGCTCTTTGGCTCTCACATTTGTCGGCTTCCATAACCAACTGGAAAGCGGCATCACTTCCCATGAGTATCCATGAGATACCATAGCACCAGACACAGACACACACACACACGTATGTGTGTGGCCAAAGAAATAAACAAATCTCCCCCGAAATGTAAACAAACCAAACGGCGGCAACAACAATCACAACAACAACGAAATTCCAAAACATAAAAAAACGTAAAATAAAACAAAACAAAGCGAAAAGCGTGCAGATACCTACTTCCAATGGAGTCATTGGCTATGAATGTTGCCACATTTGATGCAGTTCATCAGCTGCTGTTGCAGTGCTCAGTCGTGTCTTCTCCCGAATCGTTCGAAAAGCCAAGCAATACTAAGCGAAAGGAAAAAATATTTGCAAAAAAAGTGCCTTCAACTTTTGTGATTTTGTGGAACAGAAAAATGAAGTGGGGTTTTTTATGAGCAGTAATAAATTAAAAAATCTTAAACAAATAATGTGCCTTAAAAAATATTTTAAAAACAAATTTGTAAGGAAAACGCCTATTTGTATGAAATGGATATAAAATGAAAATTATTTAACTGAAAATATACAGTTTTACGAGTTCAACGGAATTTAAATGTGTCAAGTGCCTTCAACAAAAAAATTACTGTGAAAATATTTGTGTGCTCAGAAAAACTTAAGGAATTACAATAATAAAGTTAATTACATTTTACTATTTCTAATATTTTTTTTATTAAAAAGAATATTTTATAAAATTGTTACAGTGAAAAAATATATATATTATATGGCAAATACTGATATTAATTTTAAATAATTAACTGAAAACCACGATAAATGCAGTAAATAAATTTAAAATTAATGCAACAAAAATAACTTCTTGTAAAATTAAAGGTAATATCAATACTATATCAAAAAATAATAAATTTTTAATCAATAAAAAATATATTTAATTAATTTTCCTTTAAAAAATATAAAATTTTTACCTGTGCACTCTGGATTATGTGACAATTGTTGAATATGGATTGAAAGTGATAGTGATATGGATGATTCTAAACGTGAACAAAGCAGTGCAATGTGATAAAATATGAATAATAATAATTTAAATTAGGAAAAAGATAAATAAGTGATACAAATGTGGGAAATTATTCCAACTGAATAAACTGTTACACTACTTTCATACTTAAACTGTTTATAGAACAAAATTAAAAGTGGTCGCAATGATAGTTTACTGTGTCCTTCATAATAATGAAAATTCAAAACATTCCTTTTTTGGCAGTTTTGAAATAAAGTGACATTTCGAATTTGAGGCAAACACGAGTACCATAAATTTATGTTTAACAAGTAAAAAAGCAGCTAAGTTTGTTCGGGCCGGACTTTTAATACCCTCCACCATTTGGAAGGAACTGGAAAATTTTAAAAAAAAAATCCGAAAACTACCAGTTAAATGAAAACCATTACATGGGGACTATACGAAATGAACACGAAGTGAATAATGTAGCTAAAGTCATCAAAATACCGAATATCGGGAGCTATCGTTATATGAGGGCTATATGAAAACGTGGACCAACATGACCCATTTACGAACTTAACCTGCCTACTGGCAAAATAAATATGTGTGAAGAATTTTAGCCTTCTATCTCAATTCGTTCGAAAGATATCGTGATTACAACAGACAGACGGATATACAGACAGACGGATATACAGACAGACGGCTTAGAATTTTTTGCTGATCAGGAATATATATA